TCAAGTCTGTGGCAGGTTGAAGTATGGTTTTTAAATAGGAGGGCCTTCCTATTTCCTACTTTCCCTTGAGGTTAACAAAACTGGTAACAGATGCCTGACCTACAGAATTATAGACAGTAAGTGAGGTTCTAAACCACCATCAAAAGATGGCTAAAATGTTCCACAAATTGTATGTAGACAGAGTGTTGAAATAACCCTATAAGTAGATAATTCCCCAGCTCTTTGCAGACACAGTTCATACACCATTTTGAGGTATTTAATTAAATGCTTCAACTGTATTTGCCAGTCAGGCTAGTTCTGAGATGCATAGTGAAGGATTCTGTTTTGGGGACAAGTTGTTGGTGCAAAAACTCAGCATTTCCCAGTGGTGGAGGAAGTTGCAGACTACATACCAATAAGTAACAGCTGCACATCTCTGATAATTACAAAACTCTTTTTGGTAGGGTAGGGCTTAAGCCAACTATTCCAGAGATTGATTTGATAAGATTGTTTAGCCCTGTTCCCATTCTTAATTGTGCGTGCACAGACTGAGCTGACGCTGAAAAAAATGAGAATGCTCTTTTCGCTGCAAAGGCTAGCTAGCAAGAACTAGCTCAAGGAAGTTCAGTGTTCCTGGACTGGAAGCTCTCCCAGTAGCCTCCAGCGCAGGGGTGGAACACAACTGCCCGGAAAGAGGGAAGATGTCTTCATACCCTTTGCTCCAAAGCTGCTGGCTTTCGTTTTAAATCTCCAGATTCTAAATTGTTTGAGACAGTCAGTTAAACTCAACTTGTTTTTAGCATCTCAACACAACCCAAACTAAATTCTGAGCGGAAAAGGGAAGGGACGAGTAAACAAAGAAACGTTTAAGCAGCTAAGATGAGATCAAATATTTCTCCCTTTTTGTCCCTTTTCTCCATGTTGACTTCCATGAAACCTTGTTCTTTAACACTGTCAGAGGCTAATTGTGGAACACACAAGTGAGATACAGTGCTGCTGAAATAGTGGAATAGGAATGATGGACTATTTTAACCACTTAGTTGCTTTTCATTCAAGTTTACTAAATACACAGATTCAGCATTTCCAATCAACTCTGCAAACAAAGGAAAATGCAGTGGAGACAGAGTTTCCAAACTTCCTTAGAAAAGTATAAATGAATTCTTCCTCTAGATGTGGGAGGAAGTCAGTGCAAAAAACAAATTGGTCCTTAACAGGAGGTGCTTCACACTGCTGCCTCAAGAAATTAGCATTAAATTAAGTGACACTGAGAAGAACTATCCAATTAGTGCAATAGTAAAGTGCAAAGAGCATTTCAAATACTGTTCTCAGTTTAAGAGGGTTCGAGACATGGGTGTCTTAAATTCTTTAAAGCATTACAAAAATATTCCATTTTGATTTTTCTAGACCATTGGGGAATCTTTATTTACAATAAATTTCAATAAAATTTGCATAAATACCGTCCCAATACAGTGTCATTTGTGGATTTTTTTTTCCTGTAGTTAAGTAATTATTCTGTCCTGTTCTCCTTACTCTGCTCAGTCACTCTGGTGTCAATATTGATATCAACTCTTTCTTCATGTAATCTGTCAGTAGCTGTTGGAATCGTCCCAGTATTGTCATTGGAAAGCATTTCCTCCGAGAGAACATATTTCTTAGTTTCATCTTTATTCTCTAGTTTCCTTTCCATTGATGCCACCAAAACTCTTAGTAAAGCATTCTCTTTAAGGAGGTTTTCTGATGCATCTGCTAATTCTTGCAGCTTTTCAGCCATTTCTTCTAATTCTCTATTCTTCTGTTCACAAATGGTCTGTAAATGCTCACTGTGAAGCTGGAGGGTCTTACGTTGTCTTTCTAGTGTGTGTTTCTGCTGTTGTAATCTATGTTCCTCTGCCCTGGATTCTGAAAGCTGGGCTTCAAGCTGCTCATGGGTCTGGTGTATGGCACTGACTTCTGATCTTAATTTTTCAATCTCTCTCTCTAGATGGGAGATGTGTCTTTGTTGTAATGCTGCCCCTTCTTTCTGCAGACACTCTTTGGTGCAGGGCTCCAAGTCAGATGCAGATGAAGGTAGGCTTGAGTAACGTAAAATGAATTTAAGCAGATTAGGTATGGTAATTGAAAAATCTTCAGGAAACTTCACACTTTGGTCCTTCCTAAGAGGAGAAAAAGCCCACACATCTACCATTAAAATACTGCACTGTAAAAATGTTTCTACCGGTACTTAAAATTGACCAAACTGCATTATACACAGGGTGTCAAGTATAAGTGGCATCTAGACGTTGCTGGGTTTTTGGTTGTAGCTGTGTTGGTCTAAGGTCATAGGCAGGCAAGGTTCTTTGGGTAGATGTGATATCTTTTATTAGACCAACTGAGTACTTGGGAAAAAGTTCTTGGCAAGCTTTCAGGAGCAGTCACCTTGGAGTCTCAGATGAGCAGAGACTCCCTATTTCTGAACAAGGGTGACTGCCCGAAAGCTTGCTAATAAAAGATATCACATCTACTCAAAGATCCTTGCCTGCCAGTGACATCTAGAAGAGCTCAAATTTAACTGCCATATACTCTTGCTTATGAGTACATGGAACTGATATTTTCTTGCTCTTCCCTTATTAAACCTTTGTATGTAATACAGTCTAAAACTATACAGAAGAAAAACAAGGAAACCAATAAAAGAATGTTATGATTGAGCCACTACAGGACTTGAGCTGCTTGGTCTTACAGCCTTTACTAGTTTTTGTATTCTCTCTCAGTTGATCTTGATAGAAACACGCACAGCAAATCTTCTGAAGCTTAGAGTAGGCAAACTGAAGTCAACTGTTTAAAACAATTAAAAAATCCACAACCTAGAAAACCTAAATATTTTGCACAATATTTTACAATGCAGCAGTACTTTTTGTCACTCATTTTTAAGTACTTTTACTTTAGTATGAATATAGTGATACGCTTGCCAGAAACACCACCACTGTCATGGTTAGGTTACTAGCAGTTAAGAGAGACCGAAGAAAATTCTACAAGATGTTCCCAACTACACACTGATTTAGTACTTCTCACATAGGCACCAACTTTTATTTTTGCTGGGAGGTGGCCCAAGATGATGGACAC